GAAGAGAAATAGGCGTTGAGCGCGTCACAAGCCCGCTAGTTAGGGGCAGGGATCGAGTAGAGACGGCCGTGCAAAGGCGGCGGTCAGACGGACGTTGAGGGATGCATGATCATTGGATGATGGGAGTGATTAACCTAGCGAGGGCAACTCGCTTTCGTATGGGTCACCGCCAGTTGGCTAACTTCCGAACTAGCCTTGAATCCGACGCCTTGCTGCTAACCGAGCAGACACTGGCATGTCAGTGGTTGGTAAGGCCGGGCCTGGAGGCGGCTTCAAAGCCACATGTTTTGCAACGGAAGCCGATGAGGGTAGTGCAGGTCGGGGCCTCTGGGGCGACATTCGGCTCTGGCTGATGTGGTTATGAACGACGTGCAGGAGGTGAAACCGGTGCCCCTGATGAAGAGTTGGCACCGGCCGAGCTGGGAGCAGCTTCAGCGGGGGAGGAGCTGAGGCTCTGACTTGATGGTGAAGCCACCTGGTGACATGAATGAGGATTTAGGCCAGCGTAGCCGACATCCTCAGTTGTTTGTCGACGTGTTGGCCGCCGCTGCAAGAATGGAGGAGAGAGTGATAACCGACTTGCCATCGTTTTTCGTGATGAGGTTGGTCGGCGATGCAATGGCGTGCGAAGAAAGGCGGTGAGTGGTGTGAGTGACCGATGAGAGTGTATGACGAGGAGGGAATGGAGGAACGATGGGGATTTTGCTTTAAAGGGCAGGCGAAGGAATGCAGGACAAGTTAGCAACAGCTTTATGAGCTTGCGTCCCCGTGGACAAGGAGGATTCGGTTCAGAAAACTGCACTGGATAGCGGTGAAGGGGGGGGGGGCTGTAAGTGTTGGAGGGACGGGCAGAGTATCGGAGGTCAAAATATTCTGCGGCTCGTACCGGCCGCTGTAACACTAAAGGAGAGACCATTATAGCCCTGCATTTGATTGGCAGATAGGTGAATGTGAAAAAAAATGCTGCCAATAGCGCAGTGACACTAGTGCTTGACAAATGGCGTCAGAAACGGAACCACTACAGTGTATTCTACGTGGCGAAAAAAAATTGAATGTTTCCGTTCGTATGCGTCGTTCAGAAAGACTTCTGGCATAAAACCGCAGACGAGGACCACCATGGTGAGCGCAACAAAATAAGCCGCGCTCCTATGGTTATTATCAGATATACTTTTCTACAGTTCAGACCGGAGACATAGGATTGTTGTTAGAGTGACCGTCAGGGTACACAATCATTTACAATAATATTTACCTACCGATGTCGCAGAATCTTCCGGTGTAACCCGGCTTGCACAAACATTCGAAAGACCGAACATGGTCAACGCAAGAGCCATTTTCACCACATGGAGCTGATTGACAATCGTCAATATCTGAGCAAATAGGGCCAATTGAATGAAATTGCATAAAATGGCATCGTATTTACTTATTTCGCATTCCTTTCCCGTAAAGCCATCATGACATATGCAGTGGTATCCATTGATTTCGTCAATACATCGTCCAACGTTATTGCAAGCGCCTATTTTGCACTCGTCTATCTCTAGGTACAAGAAATTAATGCGGTATAGGAGAAATATTTCAGTAACCTCACAATTATAAAATATAGAAGCATGTGTTTCCAGAGAATGTCAATGAATCTTGTTTCCACCAAACATTACTGTGGCAGACATTTCGTGAAGGGGTGCAACGTATTTGAACTAGGATCCTACATCTTACACAGTTCTTAAACTGATTGCCT